ACCGGCCTCGCTGCTCCCCGCCGCGCCGGACGAGTGAGGCTGTCGGGGTGTGTCCCCGTGTCCGTGTTACTGAGAAGCGAAGCTGCTCTTCTTCCGCCCCCTCTCTCCCTGCCAGGGCACGAGGCTGAAGCCGGAGCCCGCTCTGAAGGAGCCGGTTTGAGGCTCGGGCTGCGGGTCTAGACCTGCCCCTGCTCGAGCCCCCTCGGGACACCGCAGACGCACCCTGAGCCGTCCTCACGCGCCAAGGGCCCGGCGGGGCACGCGGCTGTCACACGGGGGGGGCTCTCGTGTCTGGTGAACGGCGGTCGCACACCTGGCGCGCCAGCGTGCGGCACCCACGAGAGGACCTGGAGGCCCCCGACGCCCCGGCCGAGGATCCCTGCGTCGGTGCCCGGGCGGTACGTCCTGAGCGGCGGTCGCGCGTGTCTCATCCGGGCAGTCGTGCGGTGCCAGGCGGTCGGTCTTTGGTACATTTAGACTCAGCAGGCCTGTTTCCCCTTTAGGGTAAATGGGGCTAATTTCATAACGTGTTTCCAGATGCTCAGTAACTATCAGGACTCGTATTTTTTCCACGCTACAGCATGTCTGTCTTACAATAAAGTCTCTTATTACGGTGAACTTTAGGAGGGAACGAAGCTCATCAAAATGTGCTTTCCTCGTAAAGACGTGCAGCATTTTGTATGGTCGTTCTTGGGGTCGCCACATGGTAAATAGGCCAAATAGGGTTTTGTACCTTGTTTTATAGGTTAAAGCGAGCACCTAAACTGAAGACCTGAATTTTAAATACAGTGTTAGCTTTAAACATGGTAAAGATTTAAGCTCGGTTTAAATCTTTACCGCGCGTTTAATTTCATTACTTGAGGTAAGTAATGAACTTGAAATTTGAGATGGGTCGAATGCCTTTGCTAGGACTCCTGTACCTACCTGCTGCTGCTTGTTTGGGCGCCCGCCCCAGCGAGTGGGGATTTGCAGGCATTCACTGATGGGGAGCTCCTTGGGGATCAGGACTTCAGGTATTGTCTGCCGAACTATGCCAGGATCAGCTGTTTACAGCTTCCAAGTCTGTTCTGGTTTTAGGGTTTGGTTTTATTAAATTTGAAGTGTCACAAAGAGACAGTCCCTTACACTGCTCTCGGGAAAACTTATTAGTTGGGTCGTATCTAATATTACTTTGAAGGTTAATGCGTTAGGAAAGAGGTGACTGGAAGCCTTTAAACCGATATGCTTGAAGGTCAGAGTTGTGTTGGGATCTTTTGAGACTGGTAATTGTTTGGTAACCGGAACAAATAGTTCAAAGAGTTTTCTCTTTTTTCAGTCCTTTAAGGGTTTTTTGTTTTGGTTTTTTGTTTTTCATTTTAATAATTGAGAAATTCAGTAGACTGGCTTCTTTACTCATGAGACCATTAGTTCTCTTTATAGACTGTTCAGATTCTGTAATGGATAAACTGGAGACATGGTATTACTGCTTACAACACAGGATCGATTTTACTGTCATCGTTGTAAGTGTGTTTAAAGCACGTGAGCACATAGTTTGAAGGCTGGCCCTTTGACCCTTGTATCATTTGTTTGGAATGCAGTGCTCAAGGCATGATTTAGATTGTGAGTTTTGGGACAGAAATTAGGCTTTTATATAGTGCTGCATACACCAGCATTCAGTAAAATGTCAGTTTAATCCAAAACTAATAAGTCTCATTTGGCATCTGTAGCCCAAGCCAAATGCTGGCCACCTGCTGATATGTCATTGGCAGCAAAGACCATGTGGAAGGTTTAGGAAGTTCCTGATGTATTAGTCGCATGCTCTAAAACAAAATAGTTTTTGTCTTGTGGATGAGCGGGACCACATTTGATGTATAAATATGAAAAAAGTCCAAAGGGGAGGCTAGCCAGTCAGGTCACCAAAGAGCCTAAACATTCTGCACTGCTCCTCTTTATTATATTGGATGTGATCTTTTTTTTTTTTTCCCTCTTTTTCAACGAGATGTGAGAAAAGCTATTAGATTTAGTTTAGATTTTTGTTTTTCATGGAAACATGAATTTCAGGATTCAGTATGAAACAAATGTTTTATGTGTTGACATTTGAGAGTTTTTTCTTTTTGTTCAGTTGAGGGTTTTTTTTAGACACACTGCAGTGTAAATACAGTTGGAGCCCAAATTAGGGTCTATTGCATATCATTATTTTTTCTGCCCTCGCTTTAGGAGTATCTTCTGCGGACACAAGTTTTTGTCATTTAGTGGATTATATAATACCTCCAGAAACCTAACTGCCATACAAAACTACTCCTTGGGAGGAGAGGGGGCTTCAGGAGAGAACAGCTTCTGCTGTGATTTATGTCAATAGGAAGACTCTTAATTCTTCCTACATCTTTCTGCCTAATCTTTCAAAGAGACATTGAAGTCAGAATTCTTACACTGTGCGTTAATGTAAGAACTTTATGTAAGAACAAATTTTGGAATTAGTTGAAAGATGAAAAGCTGTCCATGTCCCGTACTTTTCATGGTCCAATTAAACGTAGGTCAGGGGTTGGCAACGTTTTTGGGCAGAGTACCCAAAAACACCCACAACCTCAACTTAAGTTGGGGTGCCAGTGGCATATGGCAGGGGAGCAGCCAGGGGCCCAATCCTTATTGTGGTAGTTAAGCCCCAGCCCCTTCTGTGCTGTCTGCCCCCAAGGCATGTGCGCCAAGCAGATGGCCTTTGCGTGCCACATTCTGGCACCAGTGCTGGGGTTTGTCTATCCCTGATTATAGGTATTGAGAAGTTTTAATCAAATATAAGAATATAGATGGTGAAAGACAACCATATCTTTAATTTTAAAAACCCAATACTTTGGAAGCCTTCCACTGACCAGATCTGTCAAAAATGATAGTAAGACAGAAACAGTGAATTGTGAATTTTATTGTATTGCTTACAGGAGCATAAATAGCAACCAAAAACAGATTGCAAAAAGGTAAGATTTTTTTCCCCCTCATTTTCTTCCCCTGACTAGATCATCCCAGCCAAGGCTTTGTTTAGCTGGGTCTTAAAAACCTCCGCAGCCTCTTTGGCTGTTCCAGTGCTTTCCCCTCCTAGTGAGGGAGTTTTTCCTTGTATTTAACCTTCCCTTGCTGCAACTTGAGCCCATTGCTCCTTGTTCTGTCATCTGCCACCACTGAGACCAGTCCAGCTCCATCCTCTTTGGAACCCCCTGCAGGGAGTTGAAGGCTGCTGTTAACACCCCCCCCCCCCCCCCTTCTTTTTTCCAGACTAAAAAAAACCCAGTTCCCTCAGCCTCATCAATCACATGTCCCAGCCCCCTAACCATTTTCACTGCCCTCAGCTGGACTCGCCAGTTTGTCTACATCCTTTCTGTAGTGGGGGGCCCAAAACTGGATGCAGTTTAATTTGTGTACACATGTAAGTCCAAATGGCTTTAGTTGCATTCAGAATACTGAACACTGTTTAGCTGCTAGCTTCTCTGTCTGAGCTTGACAGACAGAATCCGGTATATCTTTGCAAGCATCTAGAAGATGTGTGGGTGACAGGTCCTTGTGATGCTTGTTTTGTTCCTGGTTCTCTATTGGTTTTCCTTCGTTTTTTTTTTCCCCAGGCTCTTCCTATCCTGTCTAATCAGTGGTGTGGATTGCGCTGGTGGTGAGCATATGTTCCAATAATGCCTCGACTTCACCCTTCCTTGAGGTTCAGGACCTTTGTGCCAGTGGAATTAGCATCTTTCTCCAGAACACGAGCGCCATATAAATGCCACAAAGCTGCTATCATATCATAGGTGATTATGAACTGTGGGGAAAGAATGTATAAGAAAGGAACTAACACCCATTAATAGTTGGGAGCTGTCACCGGGGGGGTGGGTGCCAAGTCATGTAAAAGTAACTAGATTATAGACGGAGAAGAGTTGATCTAGTCTCTTGGTCAAAACAGAACACTTTGTCACTGTTGAGAAGTAGCAAATTACTAATTTGACATCTGGCAATGTTGACTGCTTATGAAGAGGTTTTGTTTGTGACCAATTCTGGGCTTTGGTTGTGTTCAGAAAACGTACATACAAAACCCCGCTTGCAAGTCATAACCAAGTCCCCTGCTTATCTTTCATGTTCTTGATTTGAGCTGCTGTTGTGGAAGATTTGAACAACACTTTGTCCCTCCCAAAGTTACTGATGGTTTCTTGGGTCCACACCTGATGTTTAGTTGGTAGCAGTTTAGTAATGTTTCCGGATATATGGACTAGTTATTAAAATATACCGCTATGTTCTGAGGCAACGCTAGAAACTGCTCCAAAGCTACTCGGAAGAGAGACAATTCTTGGGCAGCAACACTCACTTCACAGCTACCGCTGCAATTTCCTCTGAGGATGCTAGTGAAACGCTGATTGGCACTCACACCTGGGTAGCTCTTGTCAACAGTGTTCCCAGAAGTTCCACTGATCTCTGGGGAAAATTAAAATCTCATTATTATGGAGTTACGCGAGACACGTTTCTGTTCTGCTTTGTGGCAGCAATTTTCAGCCAGGCTGGTCCTAACTTAGAGAATACGTTGCTGAACTGTGCATGCATCAGTGTACCTGCCTGTGCCAGTAGCAGTCTCGTGCCAAGAAAAGAGATTTCAATTTCTGGCTTGCCATTTTCTCCTTAGTTTCAAACCAGTTTGCTTGCTCTGCATGTTTTCTGGCTTGCAAAGCACAATCCTCTAATGCTAAATGTGCTTCTTTAATGTTCTAGGACAGATACAGTAATCCTGCACATGAAAACAAAGAACAAGAACTTTATTGTAAGTAAGATTATTTTTATGCTTTCCTGCAAGCTTTTCCTATCATCACAACCACTTCACTTGAGTGGAATACTGGCTATTCTGAGAATAGGGTGTGGAAGCAAACATTTACTTCAGGTTTCTTATTAAAAATGTCTCTTTCACTTGTGGACATACCATTTGGTAACCTTGTCTTTCTTGATACAGACTAAGGTTTGAATTGGAAACCAAACATTAACTGTGATATCCTTGCCTGAGTCACTGTATGTGTCCAGTAATGACTGAAAAATTAGCGTGTTGGTAATCTGTATTGCCCCAGAGGCAGAGATCTGAGTAACAGCTCTCCAGGCTGGATGTTGACTTTTAAATCGGTGGGAGCCAACCTTTCTTTTGGCACATGTGCCACATTAAGCCCCACACCTTTCCTGAGTGCAACTCCTAATACCTTTCCCCTGCCTACTCTGCTTACTGCTCCTTGCCCATCAGTCTGCCACATAGAGGCTGCCTGTGCCACTTGTGGCACATGTGCCACAGGTTGGCCACCTCTCCCTTGCATCATTGGTCTGCTCTTCTTACTTTCGGGTTGGGACAGGACTGTATTTCTTGTCACTTTTATGGAGCCCTTGGGACCTGCTGTCCATCAGTCTGCTGCCTCTAAATGTGGGGCAGGGACTAAAGGGATTTAAAGAAATCAGTTTATAACTTTGCATTTAAAACATATGAAGGATTATATTAATGTCCAAATCAAATAACCACGTTGATAAATATCCATGGGCCATACAGCTTCCTTAGTCTAGTGTCCTGGGAGTTTGGATGCCCTCTTATGCTTGTTCTTAGCCAAAAGGCAGAGAGCTGTCTTTATCTCTGAAGTAAAAGAATACGGAACTTGCTTGCCAGATATGCGGCAGCATGAACTCCTTATCAGTTGAGTGTTTATAGGGTGCCAGATTAGCTGTATCCACCCCTAGCAAATGCATTTATGCTTTCTTCCTAGTCTCATGGAGTAAGAATGTGTCCTGCACTGTTGGCTGGATATACTTTTTTGGTATTGAATCAAGTTGACGTGTGCTTGCATGCTTCATAGATGCAGAATGCTTCTACAATTGTTGTTGGGTGTAAATGAACTTGAATGTGTTGTAGAGCTTCTGTGCAAAAAATGGGTAAGTTTGTGGGAGTTTTTTTGTTTGTTTGGAGTTTTTTTTGTGAGAGTCTAGGTAGAGATTTTTTTAATATGAGAATGGATTGCATGATTATTTCTTTCTTATTTAGGCAACTGAATGTGTGTCCCGGTCGTGTTCTTGAAAGTGCTGCACATCTGCAGCTTCTGAATTTTGAATGGGATTTGTTAGCATTTAGGATCTCTCTTGAAAAAGAGGTCACTCTCAAATGACTAACCTGTAGCATCTGTATGATCAGTCTTGATGTCACTGTGTGGTAAATGGGCCATCCAGTCTCTTACCTGAGAAATTGTGATTGATTCTTTTTTTCAGAATTAAAATATACCACAACTTCATTCTGGCAGAAAAGAAAGCCTTCTCAAAATCGCTGCAGAAGAACCACTTTATTCCCTTGAGGGGTTTTGGAATAATTTGTTATTAAAATCTTTACTTCTATAGCTCCTTTAACTGTCTTCAGTTCAGTTCTTAAAAGTATGTCCCTTGACATGCAGCTAATCGCTATTGCAGAAAGTAAAACTTTTTGAGATTGCATAAACACTAAGACGTGCACTTGTTCAGTGAGGATTTTTTCATTAAATTGAATCTCTCCACTTGTGCAGGACATTTGTTGCCAGCAGAAGGAACTGTCTGCAGTGAGTACTCTGTATTGGAAGCGAGTACTCTAATTCTGTTGCTTTCTCAGCATAATACTTTGCAGGTTTCAAAGTCTTTATTTAAAAAGTTGCTTTAGAATCTGGAGTAAGGCTAGGGATTCTCAACATTCTTGTAAATTGGGTTGCATGTCTGTTGTTGACATGGTTAGTGATTCCCCCTACAACCAGGGTGCCACGGTATGTGATTCACAAATTTTAGATTTCAAATATTATTACCACTGTAATGTCTCCCTTTTGGCGCTTTTTTATTTATTTATTTATTTATTTATTTATTTTTACCCCTGCTTTCTTCCTCCTCTCTTCCCTGCTTTATCTTTTGCCTTTCTTATCTCTACCTATTTACATTCTCACTGACATCCTGCCACACTTTTAGCTTTTCTCAGTCCTTGAAGTCTCAGAACAGCAGAGACTGCCTGAAGAAGGGTGACTGCGCTCAAAAACTTGCTAAGAACTTTTTTTCCAACTAGTTGGTTGGTCTAATAAGAGATCACATCTACTCAAAGAACCTTGCTGCAGATTTCAAATAGGAATTTGTGGTTGTGATCTTTCCAAGTTCTTTGCAACAGAAGAACTCCTCTATTTTTTCTTAACTCAAGAATGGAAACTAAGAGCTGATATTTTCCAGGGGATGCCTTGGGTATGAAAAGAGGGAGAATCGCTGGCTTAGGTTATACTTGGAGTGGTAGTAAGAGTTTGTATGGAACCAAAATGACTAGAATGTCTTGTGATTTGCATTTTCAAGACTTACTTTGATCCCATTGACCTGTCTCTTTCCCATCTGCCCCCATTACCTAGATCTGAATAAGTAAAAGGGCAGCTTTTGAGCAAGAACTGCCTCTGTGTTTACAGCCCTACATTGGAATTATTGGTGATACCCATAATACAAATAGTGATTCAGCTGGATGACATCTAGATCAGTTATGCACGTGGCAAATTGTGCATAGGTTCTGGTGTCGGAAGGGACCTCAGTGGACCATCTAGTCCTACCCCCTGCCCCTGGCAGGCAAGAAAAGGGTTGCCAAACCTGGGATCAGGTGAACCCAGCCAGGTGCCTGTGCAGTCTCCTCTTGAAGACCCCCAAGGATGGGGCGAGCACCACCTCCCTTGGAAGCCCATTCCAGATCTGCATATCTATTACAGATATATAGTTGTAGCTGAAATAAATTTCAGAACTCTAACCTTTTTTCTTTTTAAACAATAGTGGCTAAAGGCATCTGTGTTTTTTTTTCATTAGCTTTTTGTGGTGCTTTGTCTTGTTTACCAGCAGTGAAAGTAGTAATACCTAGAATAGCTGTCTTTAGTAGCCATCACATGCGGTCACAGAAATCTGGACCTGGTTTTGAGGGGGGGGGGGGGGGGAAGCTTACAATTTGAAAAACACTTTTGAAGATGTTTTGTGGGGGAGGGGGTTCCTTTTAGTCTACTTCCTTTTTTTTTTTTTTTTAATACTACCAGCTTTTTGTGTTACTATTTACGTGTATGTGGTAAGATGACAGATTGCAAGTATTACCTAGGTGGCTTGCTCCTTCTGATTTCCACCTAAAGCACGTTCCCCTCTAGTGTCTTGTCTCAAACTCTTGTCAGTTAGACTTACCTATTTTCCCTTCTTTTTTTTTTAGTTTAGTTGCTGTCACATCTGACCTTTTTCTCTTGGTCTTTGTACTCCTTTAAAATTCACAAGCACTAAAGGTATTAGCCAGTAATGGGTTTTTAACTTCTGATTTGTGTTCCTTCTCTGCATCCTGTAAAATTTCATAGCACTTGGTAAAAGCCACTTTTAATCTTGGTGTGTTTTTAAAGTGGCTTAATTTTGATTTTTTTCCTAATAGAAGCAAAGCAGAAAGGAAGCACTAAAAGAAGCTGCCATATGACTACTTCTGTTCAGCTTTTTGCTGATGGGTGACATCATATGGCTACTTCTGATGCTGTGAATCGTGAGACTTATACGTTGGTTTTGAGGGATGAGGGAGTTAGCTATGCCTTGACTCTAACGCAATATTTCACATCTTTCTAGGGCACAAACCATGAAGCAGATGTGGGAAAACAACACTTCATGTAAAAACATGACACTCTTGTAGTGTTATGCTTCCATTCCCTATATGGAAAGGCTTAGAGTCAAGAGAACTGAAATTAAGGATTGCATCAAGTGCTGTGTTTAAAATAGTCTAGCACTTCCTGTTTTAAAAACATGCTTGTCTTGAGGCTGCCCTTGAAAGCTGCTAACATACTGTTTAACTTTAATAGATCTTTGTCACAGTAATTGTTCAGGCATTGCAGATTCCTGGTTTTTTGTTTCTTGTTTTGTTTTTTTTAAGCTGCACAAAAGAGACCACTTTAATTCTAATGAATCTTTTGATGTAGAAGACAGGTGACACTTTATCTACACAACATAGTTACTGACTAACTTCTGGGTGGTGTACTAAAACTACTTTGCAAATGGCTAGCTGGCTTCTGCTGGCAGGGATGCCTTGTTTTACGGAGGCTTTTTTGGCTTTCTGTTTTTATTCTTGTTCTGGGTGATATTATCCTGAATAAATATGGACCACATTCAAATGATAATAGTCATTCCAGACATGTGCCCATTACTTAACATTAAGTAGACCCATTGTGCTAAACCTGTGACCCACAGGCTGGGTCTGGCCTGCAGTAGAGGGAATCGGCATCAAACTGCTCAAGAATCAGCAGCAGGCTGCTGGGCCCTGCCATATCCCCTGCCCTGTGCTTTGCTGTGTTCTCCCTGCTCTCTCTTTTTGCTTTCCCCTCCCCCCCCTTGTGGCAGGTGTTTACTGGAGGTAAGCTTTTCTTCTCTTCTTCCCTTCCTCTGCCATTGGCAGCCATTCTCTTTCCCCCTCCTCTACTGGCGGGGAACACTGGCCAACCCTGCAGCCAGGCACCAAGCCTGCTGCTCTACAAGATTGTGTTCTCCTGCAGTGGATCATCCCCTGTGTTGTCAGATATTGAGGCAAACCAGATACCCAGGCAAAACTTTTAGGCTTGAGGTGCTCCTCCAGAAAATGTCAGCTCTTGGCTTTCACTCCTTTTCTTGACTACAGAAAAGAGAACTCGGAAAAACACAAACGGGTCAGAATGTTTTGACACCGGGGACTGGCTAATAACTACAGACATTCAGGGGTGGGTGAGCGGGGTGCGGGGTAGAGATGGTTGGATCGGGTTCAAAATGGCTACCCAA